GGTGGTCCTAGATCGCTTGGAGAGAGCCCCAAGCATCGCAAATGCTGGGGACCGATGACTGTAGCATCAGCGCCGGTGTCGGGCAACATCTGAAGACGGGATGGCACACCGCCGTAGGTCACGATGACGCTGATGTACTGGGGGGCTTTTGTCCTGGGATGCGAGGAGTACACCCTCCTAAAATGGGTCGGGCTTTGTCCAGGGTCGTCGTGCCTCTGATTTGGCGACTGTGGGCGGCCCTCACTGGTAGAAGGGCGCCGAAGCTTCCGCCGACGCTGTCCCTTGGGTTCGTGGGTAGGGCAACACTTGTCATAGTGGCCCAGACGACCGCACATATTGCACTGTACGTACTTAGCTGGGCACCGCACTGTGAGCGACCAGTGGCCCATACGGTCACAACTGTTGCAGGTAGACTGAGCAGCTGGACACACCTGTGTTCCGTGCTGCTTACCACAGTTGTTGCAAAGTGAACCGGGCGTGGACGTGGTGGGCGAAGGCGTAGGAGCAGACTTCTTGTCCTTCTTGTACCGGGACACAGCGCGTACAGCTGTAGGGGGAGCTCGGATGGCAGAGGTGGCACACCTGGCAGCCTCATAGGAGCGACATATCGTCAACACATCCTGAAGAGAAGAGGAAGAGTCGAGGGAGGTGAGGCGTCGGACAAGTTCCTCGTCCTTAACACCCATCAGGATCACCTGCTTCAACTGGGTCTCCTCGCACTGCTGGTGGTGGCCTAAACATATATCTACCTCTTCCGAGGCTTTCTTAAGACGTACATAAAAGGCGTCAAAAGACTCACCCTCCATCTGTCTGCAGCTAAACAATTCCCTCCTGCGCAGAGCTTCATTCTGCTGTCCTTTGATGTGCCGTTGTAGAACGTCCAGTACCTCCTCTACGGACAGCAAAGAGGTTGGGGGTACCTGCAACGTATGTTCTAAGACACGCTGAACTTCCAAGGACAGGCACATACGCAGCTGGATGAGTTGTTTAGGCTGTGACAAACTCTGGAGATCCACCATTGTAGCATAATCAGCCCACCGCCGCCGCCATTCGCGAAAAGTCTGGAAATTTACATCAGGCTCCAAGATGGGCGGTGTTTGAGCTGCTGCTTTAGGTGGGGCTGGGGGCGTGAAGGAAGCATGGATGAGGTATCTGAACCATTCAGTACCGAGGCAGTGTTAGAGCCAGGGGCTTGGTTAACAGTGAGGCGAGATATCAAGGCTTCAAACCGTGCACTGTCTTCCATTCTCCGTTGGTGGTCTCGTTCTGCCTCTGCCTGCCTTCTGTGCTCATCCGCCAAACGTCTGTGAGCTTCATCCTCGCGTCTCTCATCTCTCATAAACTTCATTAAGGCAATTATCTCTGGAGATAACGCTGAATGTTGAGGTGAAGGGCTGCGCGATGTTGTGGGAGCTGGGCCGGCCTGGTCATCCATCTCTGGGGGACTATCATCCGCTTGACTCATCCAGGCGCTGGGTCCACGGCTACGTAAGGCATGAGACATAACTACTTTATCTGTGTACTGTGTCTTAAATCAGTGTTGACCTGTCAGCCCGTCGTATCAACAAGATTTCAGACAAAAAAAATTTAATTAAATACACAGATAAGTAGGTTATATATATAAAATATATATAAGAAACCGCGCGGTCAGCAAGTGTTAGTACATGTATGTGTGTGTGTGTGTCCCAGGCAAGGAGAGCGTCTCGCCCCAGCTGTGAGGGGGGGTGGAGGCGGCGCTGTGAGGGAGGGGGGTGGAGATAGGAGTAGCTCAGTCGCTCTCTGTAAACGGTCAGAGGAGGGTGCGCTGAGCTCTACACCCCACAAATGCCCAGAACATGCCGCATACCTTGGAAATCCGTTCGAACAAGGTCACACATGAATGGCACGAAACACACAATGCACTAAACACTTCACAGAAAATCACTGTCACTGACACTGCTCAAAGTTGCGAAATTCTTCGAGGGATGACGCGGGGTTGACCCAAGGCGGGGATCCATCAGCCGGCTTTCCACAAACTTGCACTAATCACTCGTAATAATCCAGTAAAACTACGCACTGCGCCATGTTAGATGTTCTGGGTAATAAGTTCTATATACAGGAGAGAACACAAACACCTGTATAGTTTTGTAGGTTCGGTTTACTGGATAAGAGTATGTACACAGAGGGGGGTAGCACTGCTCCCTAGCTAAGGTCCTGGTCAACTACCATAGACGACGTATGGCAAGTGATACATTAGCAGCTTCCATACGTCGCCAGGCACATTAATTAAGCGTGTGGGATATGGTAATAACATTGCCACACGCTGCTAGCTAGGCTGAATAAATATAAATGGAGCACATACATAATATACATACATAATACATAATCCAGCATACATAATATACATACACCGTTATCCAACCTTTTTTGCTTGACCTAAAGTAAACACCTAGAGTAGGCTTTATGTAACCCTTTAAAGCTTGCGGGTTGCACCCAACAACACTGTCATGCGGTCCTTTGTAGCCTTAAAGCCTGGAGCATGTGCTTCATTCTTGGAAATGTAAGTTCTTGTTGGCATGCACTTCCAGTATAAACCTGTTTCATCCAAATTAAAAATTTGGTCTAAGGTGTAGCCTTTTTCCTGAATCAATTTCTTTACAGTGGGAGGAAATGTCCGCACACTTGCTTCGTCGGCACTTGCTGCTTCACCACATAACTTTACATTATGAAACGCATAGCGGTTCTTAAAACCAGAAAACCATCCACTACTAGCAGTAAAGGCAATCACATCAGCAGGATTTTCAGCTTTTTTCTTTAGGTTCTCATATATTGATAAGGCTTTCTCTTTAATGGTGAGGAAGCTGGTCCCAGATCGCTTTTTCGTTTGATCTTCTACCCAAACACTTAGAAGCCGTTCCATCTCCTAAAGTTCCTTTGGCCGTGATCTCACACTTTTGCTAGCACTCAAGCTTTTCCCAGCAATACAGCTTGCTTTAATTTTTCCTGCATTGTCTCTAATGGTGCGTAAAGTAGACTCCTTTATTCCCGTTGCACGCACAATATCACATGTTCTTTCCTTATTTTAAAAACTCTTGATAACATCAAGCTTTTCTTCAAGTGTTATAGCCTTTCTTTTACTATCACCACCGGAAATGCGATCACCAGAACGCTTCTTGGAGATATTCTTCTTTTCCATATTCACAAAATTGGAGAAACAGTAAGCAAAAATCACTGAGGACGCTTCAAAACAACCCACGCGTTTCAACTGATAACATGATGTAAACAGAGAGCGCGGGTGTAAAACGCTTCGTATTTTGTTTTTCTCTTTTATTTAAAATTTTACAATTTACATATACTGCACAGGTATACTGTATACATAAATATTACATAAATTATTTCTGCAATTCTTCACAAACAAAACACATGAATTAATTGAACATGTGATGTCGAACATTAACTGTAAACACTGCATAACCCCGCGCCAAGCAACAACAACCGTTCGAGTGGAATCGCGTTACAGCTAACACGCGTTCGTGTTTTACAAATATCGTTCTTCTATTCATCAATCTTGTTATAGCCAATTCGCGTTGACAAAAGACGCATTATAGCAGAACTGACTGTACTGTAATAGTTCATAGTAAATACGGTAAAATTGATAATAAAAAATAAAAGAATTAAAATAAAATAATAAATTAATAATAATAATAATAATAATAATAATAATAATAACACTGTGATAATAATACTAATGATAAAGAAATACAAAAATGAAAATGTTAAAAAATGAGAAACAATATACTGTACAGTATGTATGTTGTGTTGTCAATAGTAAGAGAAACAATTGAGATCCTGCAATTGTGTGTAAATGAGGCAGAAAGTCAGATCAGCAACATGGGAGTTGGTCAAAAAAATTTTGATGCCATATGGCAGCAGGGTCTACCATTAGACAACACATTATGCTTCCAATATCTTCCCAGGAGGTAGTACCTCCCTGTTTGATAGCTGCCTACTACCTACTACCCAGGGCCGGATTCAGGAGTTGGCAAAGTGGGCAGCTGCCCAGGGGCCTCCACAATCTGGGGGCCTCCACATATTACAATATTTTATTTATTTGTTTATTCATTTGGATTATTTTTATTTTCATTCTTCAAAATTCATGTTTATCTATTCCATCACGTGAAACTATGTTCAGCAAGAAGTGTGATAGAAATTAGGCTAGCTACTCCTTGAAATACATGAATACCTGGTTTTCCTATGAACCTTATATTTTTAATGAATGCTATTGTTTGTGTTGCTAATAATATATTTAGAATTCCACAAACATATATTGATCAAAAATGAACTACATGGAATAACGAAATTGAGATTAAAAAAAAAACAAATAAAATATTTTTTCATTATCACTTCCATTACGAATGCCATCAGGGCGCTGTGTTTGTTGACAGTCGGTCGGAGGGGGTTGGGTCGTGTAGTATCTGCACATCGGTTGTCATGTGTCTGTCGATTAAAGAGGAGACTTGTGTCGCCCATGATTCGTTAACTTCCCACGAGTAGACGTAAACATGTCTTGCAGATGTAAAATGAGAGAGAGAATTGTCATGTGTGCTTGTTGAAAATTTTCCCGGGGGGGCTTACAGCGCCCCTCGGAACTCCCAGATGTTTAGGCTCGCTTCACTCGCCACCCCACCCTCTTGGGTAGTTATAATGAGGGGGGCCTCCACAAAGAGGCTGCCCATGGGCCTCCACAAGTCTAAATCCGGCACTGCTACTTCCTACAAAGCTCTCAGGACTTGGGTACTTATTTCCAGGAGGGTAGAAAACACTGTGTACGGTATTAATGAGAGGTACACTACAGTGGTTGCTGCATTAGTATGTTTGTATTTAATGTTCTGAGCATCTGTGTGTGTTTTATGTCTTTAGTGTAGGATAAGTAAATACAGTTAAATAAGGGTAAGTAATTGTACTATATAGTACAGTGCCTAAAAAATTAAACCTATAACTGAAAGAGGCATATTTTTCAGTATGATCTTCGAGCTCAGCGGTTATTTCTAAAGCGGCTTCCTGTTGATGGCGTGGAAGAGAGAGACCTGTACCTGGGCAATACTATTGTCATTCTTTCTCGGCAGTTAAAACTCACTGATTATGCAGATGCAACCACACGTGAACAAATCACTTCCAGGAGACAGAGGTTAGGCATTTCTTTTACCACTGTTTTTTTTTTCCAAAATAAGTACTCCACATAAATGTATTAGATAGAAAAGAACTTTTAAAAACCTTGTTGACAAACCTTGAATATAAAAATTTGGATTTAGGAGTTGCAGTCCCCAACCATTATTGTGCAGTTTGGGACTACTGTATATTGTGTGCTGGTATTGATAGTACCACCTCCTCCCATTCTCTTGCCCATTTTGTTAAATAGGAGCTGCCTAGCTTAAGGATTCAAGTTAGAATTAGGGGATTATTGACCTTGGTATCCTATTTATTAACTAATTTGGTTTCTGGATCTCAGCTAGAAACTAAAACCAAAATGGTATAGTCATGAACAAAAGTCTTTTGATAAATCCAAAACACCTATAGGCTGGGACGAGGCTTTGAATTGCTTTAGGTGAACTACCATCTACTTTTGGGTTTCCTAACTATGAAAGCAGTTGAGGCTTCGCCTTTTTTTCTGCATGTGGCAGTATGTCACACACTCATTAATTGAAAACCTATATTCAATGACTATGATATTTGTTTTAACTTAAGCACACAACACCTGTTTGTCTAGCTGTAAAGGGTGTATGTACTGTACAGTATACAGTGCGTGTGCAGTGTCTAATAAAAATATCTGCCAGGATGAATCTGATGACTTCTAAAATGCTACATGCAACTCGTGATGTCCCCGGAGGGTTGGTATGCGTGACTCTGTGGCATACTGATCCTACTACATTTGTTAATTGAACATCATATTAATTATGCTGAAATAAGTTCCCATTGCACATATTGCATTACTTTTGTTAAATTACAATAAACCAAAGTAAATGCATGTCCCAGTATCAATCATCCATGGTCTCATAATATTTCACACAGTGTGGACAGATACTCTTTTGAGATACAGGCATACCCCAATAACTGACTCGTATAGGGACTGGGTAAAGTTGGTGGTTAGTGAATTAATGGTTATCGATGCAATTAATCCCATAAAAATATAACAAATTCAGGGGGTTGGGGACTGATAACCCTCCAAAAACTCCCTTTTACCCTTGTTATATTTTTGTCATTACACTGTCGAGCAAGAAAATAAAGCAGACATATACCGTATATCTCGGCCTATAAGGCGTCGGGGTGCATAAGACGGCCCCCCCAAATTTCCATTTAAAAAGTAGCTTTTGAGCTCTATTCGCTGTATAAGACCAGTACCCCAAATGTGACACTTACCCACTGACTCAGTAGTCCTTTACCAACCATCCTTGGTTTTTTAAAATAAGGCCAATTCACTTCAAGTAATGTCATCAAATGTTACCCGCTGGTGTAGTGTAAACACTAGTGATGTCACTGAAGCGTCTGCTATTTACCGGTAACTGGAACTAATGTCTGTGTCGAGTAAAATTTTTCCATTTACTTGAAATGGATTTACTGATTTATTTGTTTATTTATTTATTTATAATATACTGTAACATATTAAACACACTGCAAGTATTTTCTTTAATTTATAGCTTGCTTATATATATATATATATATATATATATATATATATATATATATATATATATATATATATATATATATATATATATATATATATATATATATATATATATATATATATATATATATATACATACACACATATATACATACACACATACATACACACACACACACACACACACACACACACACAGTGACCCCTCCGTTAACGAACTCAATCCGTTCTAGAAGGTTGTTCGTTAACCGAAAAGCTCGTTAACCGAAACCAATGTTTCAATGGGTTTTTGGGTAATTGGTTCCAGCTCACCGAAAATTTCCTAAATTCAACAAAAATGGTAGAAAAGTTCACTTACTTTGAGGTGTGTATGTAGAAGGCTCCTGGACGATGATGATGATGATGGCATTTAGAATGGGGGTGGAGGAGAAGGAAGAAGAGAAGGCATTGGGGTGGAAGAGAAGTCACCCCATGGCGCCATTTCACCCATAAAATTTTAGCTCTCTTGGTGTAAAATCAACACTGTACTGCATTATATATTGTCAATATGTAAAATAAATTTCAAAATGACCAATAATTTGCTTGGAACACACAGAAAAGCCAAGAAGGAAGAGAGTCTCAAGCAAGATACCTCCCAGTGAAGAGAGAGAACTCCCTGTTTGTCTGCCTCAGAATGATTAATATATTGGCGGACTGATACTAAAGCTGGTTGCCCAGTCAGTGCAAGCGAAAACATGTTGAGGTCGGTTCGTAAGAACTTCGTTAACCGAATTTTTTTTCGTTAACCGAATTGAAGATCCTTATGGAAGGCAGTTCGTGAATCGAAATTACGTTAACCCGAGGTGTTCGTTAAACGAGGGGTCACTGTATATATATACATATATACATATATATATATATACAACAAAATAAATGTTAAATGAATTATTTATGGTGCATTAGGGTACTGGTCACTTCAGACACAAAGACGGGCTATAAATAGCCTTCTTTATCTCCCCTCCATCTCACCCTGAGCCAGAGGGAAGGGTCATGGTAAATAACATTTGTTTGCTTATTTTCCATTTACTTGAAATAGATTTACCGAATTATTTGTTTATTTATTTAAAAGTCATTTACTGAATATTCTATGTAAAAAATATATTTTAAATTAATTATTTATACGAGATACCGTAAATATTATCAGTAAATATATGGTATTACTGGTCACTTCAGACACAAAGACGGGATAAAAATAGCCCATCTCCCCCTCTTCTTACAGCTGCCAATGGGAAGCATCTTGGTAATTAAATTTGATGTTTATTTTCATTGTCTAATTTATCATGTATCAAAGTAATATTACTAAAAATTGTGTAGGTAGTAGGCAGCTACCAAACAGGTAGATACTACCGCCTGGGAAGATATTGGAAGCATAATGTGTTGTCTAATGGTAGACCCTGCTGCCATATGGCATCACGAAAATTGTGACCAAGTCCCAGGTTCAGCGCTGACCTGACTTTCTGCCTCATTTACACACAATTGCAGTTTGAATTGTTCCTCTAACTTTGACAACACAACATACATACAGTATATTATTTCTCACTTTTGATCTTTTTTTACTTTTTGTATTTATTTATGGTTAGTTACTTAAAATAAGGCCAATTCACTTCAAGTAATGGCATCAAATGTTACCAGCTGGTGTAGTGTAAACACTAGTGACGTCACTTAAGCGTCTGTATTTAACTGTCAGTAGTTTCAAGAATTAATGCAGTCATTTACTGAATATTCCTTGTAAAAAAATAAATTTTAAGTATTATTATCAGTAAATATACCAATATGCATTACTAACCACCTCCACGGATAAAAATAGCCCAATCTCGCGGTCACTTTCCCTTTCTTGTCTCCTCACTGGCAAATGGGGGGGGGGGGCAAGGGGAGGGGTGTGTGATGATAGCTGTGTTTATTACAGGGGTATAATTCTCTTTTACGGTATGTTAGACAGGTTTATAATACATTTTTATTATTTTAATATACCGGTAATCTTAATTTGAATCCAGCTTGCCAAACGTAAGTTTCAGTATAAAATAATTAGTGGCAAGACCTTGTGAGTGGCTTACGATGTTTCCATCACCACTCTTGACAAACTAAACCACAATATTTAAGAGGTAAGAATTTTATACTTGGTGGTTTAGACGACCCCCTAACTTTGGGCAGATTTTGTTAATGTTCAAATTCCGTCTTATAAGCCGAGATATACGGTACACATAGCTGTATAATGCAATATTATGCAATATTAACCCCTAAATTGGTGTTTTAAGAAGGTATATTGTAAATTATTTAATGTACTGTATTGTATGTGTTTATAAATGTTTATTTTCATTAATAAAAGTGCTTGAATTACTTTTTTGGGGCCGAAAAAATTCCTTAGGAACGCATCTCCAGTTTTATAATGGAAGTCAATGGGAAAATAGGTTTCGCGTTAGGGAATTTCGCGATATGGTCAATTTTCCGGGAATGGAACCCTTCCGTAACGCGGGGGATGCCTGTATTAGGTTTTAGATCTAGAAGTGTAACTAATAAGAATGCAGAGGTCTTATTGCAACTATATCTTGCGCTAGTCAGGCCGCACCTCGATTATGCAGTTCAGTTCTGGTGCCCTTATTATAGAATGGATATCAATTCACTGGGGTCGGTGCAACGAAGAATGACGAAAATGATTCTGGGACTTAGAAACCTTCCATATCAAGATAGGTTAAAGAAACTAAACTTGCATTCCCTAGAAAGATGAAGAGTGCTGGGCGATACGATAGAAGTATTTAAGTTGGTGAAAGGAATCAATAAAGGAGATATAGATAAAGTTCTTATAATATCCGAGCAGGATGGGACTCGTAGCAACGGATTTAAGTTGGATAAGTTTAGGTTTAGGAGAGAGATAGGAGGGAACTGGTTCACAAATAGGGTGGTGGAAGAGTAGAACAGGCTTAGCAACTTTGTAGTAAGTTTTAAAAGGAGGCTAGATAGATTTATGGATGATAGAGAGTGGTAGTAACTCTCGACAGGAACTGCCATGCACAGGCCAACCGGCCTATTGCATACACCTAATTTTCTTGTTTTCGTTTTTTTTTTCTTAACAGTTAGTGTTAGCTACTTCTACTGTTCTATTTGTTAACATTAAATAACATTAATTAACACATACAGGGCATGTATTCTTTTTTTTTTCTACGTGAATTTTACTACGGCTACAACCAGTCTTATTTTCTTCAATTTCATATGTAGAACCAACGTGACGGATGTAAGCACCAACGAAAACAATGCTGTCTTGTCTCCTCTTGTGCATTTTAATATTCTATGTATTACAAATGAATTGAATTGTTCATTTTGCATACATAAACATTAATGCAATCCAATAGATATTCAGTAATAAACAATAATGAATCTTTTGTACATATTCTTCATAAGATAAATGACTTATGTTTCCATGAGTGCTCACATACAGTACATACATTGGCCTTCTGCTATCAGTTTCT